AATCAACCACAGGCGGTGGTTAAGCGCCTGTAACGAGAACAGTCATATGCTAGTGGTTTCCGTGACCCTGGGATAATTCCTGCCCCCTGGGATAGTTAGCGCCATCCATGCCAGCCTCCTATGTAGGTATTCCCACGCTTTCGAGCCCCCGAGTAATTGCCTATACCTGTTATTTGGCCCGCATATTATATTTAATGTCTGTTCCCGGCCATTCGCGGCGGGAAGTTCGTGTTTGGGGTTCATGTTGGTAGTGTTGAATTGATTAAAAACGATGTCCCCGTGTTTGTAACACACACACGCGTGTTTGTACCTCACGCTCGATGTCCGCCATGTCCCTAAGACAGGAAGGCGTATGAAAGACCTCCAGCGCTCTGCGGCTCAACATTAAATAATGTCCGGTTTACGGGTTAATATTATTATTTGCGGTCGTGCCAAAGGAGGATGCGTGGATGCCATGCTTCCGTTCCGTGCGAGGAAGGTTACCGCAAGTGTACAGTGCTTTTAGCGAGTTGGCATATGGATACTGAGAGCATGCTTTTGGATATGGCCGAGAAGAGAGTGGTTAGTAATACCATGAATAATCAGAGCTTGGCTATGACGCGGAATGGCCCGGGTTTGTTGGCTCAGGGTCGTGTCGTAATTCCGGGTAAATATACGGCTAATCAAGAGGCGTTTTTCCAAAGTCGAGGACGAATAGGAGCAAGCGGAGATCGATCAAAGACAGTCGAAATATATCATACTGGAAATTCTATTCAGGAGTTTAAGGAATTAGCAATGGGTATGGCTGCGCTGTTAGTGAATCAGGAGTATGGAAGCTCGTTGGCCAATGCGGAAGCTCTAATACCCGTAGCCGACTTTGTTTGTCTCGTCTTTGCTTGTTTACCGGGTTCGATTCGAGGTAGCTTTGAAACGACTAGGATCTCTTCCAAGGTAGCTGATCAATGGTTTAGGGAGTATCGCAAACTGACATCAAATATCATAAGCCAAAAAGAGATTACTCGATGTAAAAATATCGCAACCTCAGCGGCCCAAAGGAACCCCTTGCACACTGGATATTTTACCCGGGGTCTACCTGGATGGAATGGAGGGAAAGGTGGTATACCATTTAGTTTGTTTACTCGTCTGACCGAGAATATAATCCCGTGTAGCTCCGTGGAGCGAGAGAAAGGTGTGCCCATATCCGATAATTATAAGAGACGAAAGCAAACCCGTCAAGAAGTACAACAAGAGAAACGAGTGAATGATAAGAAGTCGAAAGTATTCAACAGTAAGAAACCATTTACAGATATAAAGAATAGACTTGGACATCTTGCTGATATATTCGGGCCTAAAACGAGCGGTGGTGGAGGTAGAATATCAAAGAAGAGTACCGTAGCTCAGCAGATAGATGAACTTCAGAATGATTGGATGCTGATCAAAGCATTTGGTTTAGATGAAGCTCAGCACTCTGCTGTGAAACTAGGTGAAGCCGGAACCCGTTTTGAAACAACTCTACAAATGGGCATAGCAGGCATGTGGATAATGACAATGTGTATTAGGGTGATGAAAGCAATGGAAAGATCGCCTATTTTGAACCCTTCTGGAGTATCAATCGGCAGAACACGAGCGCGAATAGATTACCATGTCCAGGAAACCATCGAGGAAGGCACTGATATTGAAATGGCTTACATAACTTCTACAGTCTTGTACAATATGAGTAAGCAGCTTGAACCATTCTTGGATTATTTCGCTACTGTGTGTGCTAAGACCAATGAAGACTACGAAAGCTTCGCCGACCTTATTAAGAAATCACAGGTACAAAAATCTTATCCTTGGCTAAGATATCTCACTGTCGTTAAGGCATTATCCAACCCGTCCTGCCCGGATATTCATACTGTCAAGATTGCTCACAATCTTATCACCGGCGACCTTGAAGTAGACCTTCGAGAATTACAGATTACAAATCTTCACGGGCTCGACGAACTACGGAAGACCTGGGAACCAGACACGGATAAATACACTATTAGACTTGACCGTATACCTGAACACGGACAGCCGCTTGAATCTTATATACAAGAAGTTGTCGGTCAAGCAAAACGTATCATGACTGGATCACGAACCGACCTGAAAAAGACGGGAAAGAAGGGGACGGGAAAGAAGGGATGATACAAAGTTTTTTACACACATGACTGTTCTTCCCAGTGTGCTTTGGCCAAGGTGGAGAATCAGAGTGGAGAATCTTACCCCCACTAAAAAATCGGGGCGTGGGGAAATATGGGGAAAGTTATAAGCTAACTAGACAGATGCCGTATGGATTAGCTGCACGTATGTCCGAGCGGGGCGAGTTGCAAATCAATTCCTGCAAGCCAATTGCTCCGAGTGGATAGTTGTTGCATTGGTGCCGGCGCTGATTAGTAAGATGGCGTTAGTCTGTTGTTCGCTGGGAGTTGGTTAAGAAGAGATTGAACCCTGGAGTCGGGGATTGATTGGGCGCAGATCTGTAAGAGACTTGGTGTGGGTCCGGAATAATTGGAGTGGTCCATGACAATTTTGAGTACTCTGGGTAGGATGCATTTTTTGGAGTCAGGTTGTAGGGCGTCGTCAAGGGAGAGATCTTGTTCGAGATCTTGGATGGCGGTTTGTGCGGCTGGGGAGTTCATGTCTGCTTCAATGGCGGTTAGATATTTGCGTTGCAGATCGGTGAGGGGTCCCTTGTCTTGAGTGAGATGTGCGAAGAGCGGTTGTAAGCCACAGATGATTTTGTTTTCATCTGTGCGGGTGACGAGTTTGCAAACGGGTTCCAGAGGTAATTTATTGACCCGCAGCACCTGCTCAACCAGACTCTGGGGCACCTGTAGATGCTCCACATGTTGGTTGGATGCATATTCCCTGAAGAAGAAGGCAGCTACAGCACCTTGTACATCATCCGCGACCAAGACTTGTACGTGTCCGGCAAGGTTGTTTTGCAACACGGGTGGCAGGACCTCGCTTTCCTTATAGGATCCAGCGTTATAGGACATGCCCTTGTATGATGCGCCCTTGCCGTCTGTCTCTCCCTCTGGGTCTTCCAGTTCGGCTCGGAGATAGTCGGGTGAGACTTGGGGCGGGGAGGCTCCGATACCGGCTCGCTGCAGCACACTTTCCCAAGGCTCCAGGTTTTGTGTTTGATTACGAAGAGAAACGCAGCGGGCATTAACATTGGGCGTGGAAAGGCGTTGGGTAACGTAACGATGAACTTCAGCGAGTCGTGGATATTTAAGTTGCCGCGTGTACGGTAGTCGATACTTGGAGCCATCATCTAGCAGTTGTTCCCAGAGGTAGCTGACGGCGTAGTCTGCGAAAGAAACCCCTTTGCCAGTAACCGAGGGTGTGACCGAACCTGGTTCAGCAAAACGCGCCAATTGGCCTTCCAATTCTCGAACGTCTAAGATGAAGAAACGCAATTCCTTATTCTTGTCACGATGCACCTCTGTGCCGTGCTTAGCCCGCACCTTGTCCAACAACGTGAAACAACGCTTCCATGTGTCATGCGCAATCAATAATTCCTGTGGATCGCTCGGTAGCACACGCGCGCGCGAAGCACACTCCATCAACAGGGCGTCTTCGCAATAAACCGACAACGGTGCCGCCCGTGCAACGCGTGGCGACTCCAACATCTCACCCGCCCCGTCGAACCTCGATGTCGCTAACGTCATGAACGGCGACGCTCCCTCCGGAGCGTAGTGCTCTGCTGCCGCCGGTATAAAGTTCAAATAGTATTCGACATCACTGTTGTCCATAAACCGTAAAATGCAACGCGCCATGTCGTCCCGCTCGTAGGCCTCCCTTGTGATGTGGATCGTCGGATATAGCGGAACCACCTTCGGGGGAACAACGCTGTCTACCCCAACAACGTTGTCTCCCCCAACAACGCTGTCACCCCCCCTCACGCTGTCCCCTGCTGTGACACTGTTCACCCGGCTCGCACCCATCGCTTCACCCAACGCAATCTTCGGCCCCTCCATACCTCCCATCTCCGCGCTACTGAGCGACTGCAAACCTTGAGGTGGAACAGAGTACTGCACGACCGGCCTCTCAAACCCCATGCTCCCCGAAGTAGGACGTGACCGTGGACTTGTCCGCTCGTCCTCGGTAGTCTCCGTCTGTGGCAGCCGTTCCGGTTGGTGCAGCCGGCCAGTTGGCGCAGCAATAGTCAAAGCCGCTGTTCCATCAGCCTTAAGGGTGCTTTGGGCGTCTAGCAAGCTGCTCGCTGTCAAGTTAGTAGTTGGCTCCAGCCCCTTGTACTCTGCCTTCATCGAGTCTATTGTCTCGGGCATGTCTAGCTTCTCGATCGAGTCCAGCGCCTCGGTTGTGGTGTCCAGCCCCATGGTCGACTTCAATAAGTTCTGCGGCTCTTTGAGATCTAGCGCCGAATCCGAGTCGAGAAAGTTCTTGGCCTCCTCCAGTTGGTCGGATAGATGTTCTATGTTCTTGGAGGTGAAGTTAACGGGTGGGTTACCCAAGACGATGTCGTCGTCGACCGACACGTCTTCGGATAGCGACTGTAGCAGTGCCGCCGCAGAGGGGATCCCAGGCACGTTTTCCAGGCTGTTGTCGTCCAGCAAAGATCGGTCTAGCATCAGTGTGAAAATTATTTAAAAAGCGACTGCAGCTGTGCTAGCACACACGGATCCGAGTGGGATGTGCAGTTGGCGGCTAGACACGGTGGTCATCACGGACTTCAAGTCTTTCGGTGGCCGCCATGTACTGGGCCCCTTTCAGAGTTTCAACTGCGTCGTGGGGCTGAATGGCAGCGGCAAAAGCAACTTCTTGGACGCCCTTTCCTTCGCCTTGGGCATGAACAACAAACACCTTCGAAGCAACCGGTTCAACGATCTGTGTCACCAAGACAGGCGCGCCCAGGTTCAAGTCCGTTTTAGACAAGTCACCGGCGATGCCTCAGAACGCGCCACACCCACAACCGAAGAGTACTCGGAAACTGGCGTCGGGCCCAGAGAGGGACAGGGGGCAGCTGGAGAGGGACAGACAGACGGAATATCATCAAGTCGTGTCTTGACGTTGGAGCGTAGGGTAGTGAGTGACAGCTGTACGATCTTGCTGGTAAACGGGTCAACTACAGACCGTAAGACTTACAACAAGCGCTTGTCGGAGATCGGCGTTTTTGGCAAGAATTGCCTTGTGGCGCAGGGCCACGTGGAGGCAATCTCGCTGTCCACTTCTAAGGAGCGAGGTCGCACGATCGATCAGTTGAGTGGCAGTAGTGCGTTCAAGGAAGAGTACGAGGAGGTTGCGAAGCAGAGTCAGACATTGGCTGCTGATCTGAAAGTTGCGCAGAGTCGGAAGGCTGATGCGGAGAACGAGTTGCGATCGTGTCGAAAACAATTGGAAGACCTGAAGCAATTTAATGCCGTCAAAGCGCTGTCGACGGCCACTAAGAAGTTGTCCAAGCTCGTCGACTGCTGCCACATCGAGGACCAGCTCCATGTACGTCTGACCGAGAACAAAGCGCTGCTGGAAGAGATCGGGCATTTGAAGAAGCTTACTACGGAGGCAGACGATAAGGCGACGGGACTCCTGACCAGCAAACGAGAGCGATTGGAATCCATCAAGGTACTACGAGCGTACCAGAAGAAGGAAGACGAAACCGTCAAACAGAGGCTGGCCCAAGCAGAGGAACATGCCAATCAGGTCATGAAATTGGAAACGGAAAAGGAAGACCTAGTACAGCGAAAAAATAAGCACAAAATCCTATGTAGAGAAACCCTGAACGAGTATACCCAGCTCTCCGAAAACCTGATGGCTTTCTTTACTAAAAATGACCAGGAAAGAACCAGCAAAAAAAACCAGATACAGAACAACGCATATTATCTGGCAACCGACCAAGTCAGGCAAGCCGTAAAAGAATTACAGCATAGCTCTCAAATAAGCACACTTGAATTACAAATAAAATCGCTGGAACAGCAACATTCCTTCAATGAAAAGAAACGCGCCAACGTAATCTTCGACACACGGCATACCCGCCTGTGGTATCGAGGTGGTCGTCTCTGATGGCTGGGTGGTCGCTAATCATGTTTGTTTATAGGCAATAGATGAATTAGCTAGTCTAGAAGAATCCGCTAGTGAGCATAAAGAGATTTTGTTCCGTTTGAGACAGGAGATTGAAGCTGGGGAAGAGAAGATTGGCGCATTGACAAGGGAGTATGAGAAGCAGCGTTTGAATGGGGAAGAGGATTCATTGCAAGAGAGGCTTACTGGGATCAGGATGTCTTTGGGGGAGAAGAAGGATATGTTAAGTCAGTTCCAGACCTTCGGGAGTAAGGGCGGGGCAGATAAGAGTGCCGTTTGTGAGTATTTGAGGGCTAGGTTACCGGAGGGAGTATTTGGTCGCGTGCATGAGCTCATTGCTGTGTCGAATCCGAGTTATATGCAGGCGATTGCTTGCGCATTAGGTAGGCAATCCGAGAGCATTATAGTGCGCACTTATAATGACGCGATGCGCTGTGTTAATCTACTCAAAGAAAAACGCTACGGCATAGAAGAATTCCTCCCACTTGATACCGTCAAGTTTAAAAAGATTGATAACAAACTCAGGCAACACCCGGAACTCTATCTCCCAGCTGTCGACTATATCGGACTGGAAAATGATAGCTTCATGCCCGCCATATTATCAATCGTCGGCGACACTGTTATCGTTGACGGTGACCTTGATAAGGCTCGACAAATCGCCTTCCATGATCCGACTTTAAAAAATTATCACCTCAAAATAGTTACCAAAGATGGACAGAAAATCGCCAAGAATACAAATATCACCCTCAACTCAAAACGCTCCTACGACTCTGGAAATAATTTGGTCAGCGGTCAACGAGTACAGTTAATGAAAGATATATCCCGCCTACAAGAGGAAGAGCGCACCCTACTCTATCAGCTTGATCAGGTTACCAAATCCAATCGCTCCATAAGGGAAGCACAGAACAAACTGGGATGCGATATTGAAAACGAAAGAGCTACGATACAAAAAAAACGTGTGCAAGCGATCGAACACGAAAATATCCAAAATGCAGACCTTGGAAACATAGAGGAAATTAAGAATACCACTCAAAAATTAGATCAAGAACGACAACAGATAGAGAAAGATATATCTATGAGTAAAACTGCTATTCAGAAACAGCAACAAAAGCAAACTAAAGACAAAAAGCTTATTCAACTCATAAAAGATTCCGCAATATATGAACAGCTTCAGAAGGACTTGGAATCGCTTAAGCTGCAGAAAGAAAATGCTACGAGATCCGCCGAACAGAAGATTAGCCAGCTAATGACTCGACTTAGCTTGACGGTGAACGATAATTTCGAATGGACCAAGAGCCAATCGCCCGAGATTGCTAAGAAAGGAAAGGGGGAATTTGGTGTTTTGTCTAAGAAATTGGAGGATATTTTGACGTATTCCACAAAGGGTTATAAGATTCAAATCCAAGAGAAACAGCAGGAGCTTGACAATTTGAAAGCGCGGCAGTCAAAGTCGGAGGCATTGAAGCCAGCAAGCGATGTGGCTCGTCAGCTGGTGATAGGCGAGCAGGCCTTGAGTGAGGTGGAAGAGCGTTTGGCTCAGTTGAAGGAAGAAACCAAGCAGTTAACTAAGAAGCGGCAAGAATTAGATAGAGCTCAGTACCATGGTATTTCGAGTATTAGTGCCGTAATTAATCGTCTGGTAGAGATGATTGAGGAAAGTGATAGTCTATTCGGAATCAGTTCCCAACCGGTTGGCAGTCCCGCCAAGAAGTCGCGGTTACAGGTCTTGCCTCAAATTCAGGAGTTGAGAGACTGTCTAAATTCTGGAGGGACGTCTAAACCTGGCTTCATAAACTACGCGCCGGCTCTCTTTGCTGCAGGGATTCCGAGCATCTTCCCCGTATTGGAGCGGGAGGGTATTCTGTTACCCCGTGCCTTACCCTATCACCCAGTCCAGGACACGGGAATGGCCGTGGAGAATGAGCCCCGGAGCCAGGATGGTGAGCCCCAGAGCCAGGAAAATGAGACCCAGCGCCAGGAGAATGAGACCCAGAGCCAGGAGAATGAGACCCAGAGCCAGGAGGGTGAGACCGAGTGGGCACGCAGTATCTTGAGAGCTGTGAAACAGGAGAAGCTGGTCGAGCGCATTTCGGAGTGGTCCGATACTTTGCGCCGGATGAATGTGAATCTACAGGCGTCTGTGATGTTCGAGGGGGCGAAGGCTCGATATGTCGAGTGCCAGGACCAGTTTGACCTTTTGAAAAATGAGAAGCACAGCTTAGATTCTACCTTACACAAGATCAGGGATAAGCGTCGCCATTTGTTTATTACATGTTTCGAGAAGGTTAACGGCTTGCTTGATGAGATCTACACCCGTCTGACGTCCCGAAATATGTATACTGGGGATGCCAATGTGACTGATGTTTGTGTCAAAGATGTATGCGGGATGGCCAGTATTGAGCTGGAAGATGAAGTGAGCTCGGAGCCGTTTACAAAGGGCATCATTTTTCACGCTATACCCCCTGGCAAACGTTATACAGACATCGAGAGTTTGTCCGGTGGAGAGAAGACCATGGCAGCGTTGGCCCTTGTCTTCGCCATGCAGGGCTACCGTCAGTCACCATTTTTAATTTTGGACGAAGTCGATGCTGCGCTGGACCTCGAGAACGTCAACAGTCTGCGAGACTACCTTGTCCACTCCCCCTTCCAGGTCTTCATGGTCACCCTCAAAGAAGAGGTCTACTCCTTTGCCGAAGCGATTATAGGCGTATTCAAAAACCCCAGGACCAAGGACTCAAACATACTCACTGTGGACATGTCCAAATACCCAACCGTCACAGACCTGCCACTCAGCGTCCAAACGCAAACCGCTACTTAACCAGGTCGGGTACCTTCAGGTCGGGTACCTTCCGGTGGGGTGATCAGGTTGGGTACCCCCGACATATGACTGACCACCTCTCCAGACGGAGAACCACCCTGAGTTCCGCATCCTTTTTTATTGCATTTAATGTCCGAGGAAATCCTGCTGCCAGATGGCACTTTCGTGACAATGCCTATACCACAACTCCGCGATGCAGAGGCCGACCCGGGACCTGCAACTACCTCTGCCAACGCCTTCCACCTTCTGGAGAAAGCCAGAACCGTCTCCGGCTCCACGGCCGCGGCTGGCAGTGACTTCTTCAATGTGTATAGAAAACAAAGAGCAAGAGAATTAGAACGACTGGAGAAAATGGACGAAGAAGCAAGAGAGGCGGAGCTAGAAAGATGCTTTCAGGAAACGTACTCCTCCCCTCCTCCGGACTTCATTCACAATTGCGCCAAATCCCCCCTATTTAGTGCTGGCGGGCCCATATCCCCCC